CCGATGTGATTGCGCGCAGAAATGCCCCGTAGGTTTGGCCCACGCCCGGAGGCTGGCGCCGGTCGCGGGCTGAAGCTCTCGGTCCAGCCGAGGCAAGCTCGACACCGCACTTAGACACGGCCGGGGACGTCACGCAGCGCACACGGTCAGCCCATCTTTGGGCCTTGTTTGTTCGATGCACAACCTTGGTGGCGTACGACAGCAGCGTCAGCCCCGAGGGCAGAGCATCGCCGCGGCTCCCGCTCAGCCGTGCCGGCCCCCTTTCAGGCCTGTACGGGCACGCAAGGTCGCGGCCGGCCTGATCGCCGGGCGCCGGGTGTGTAACTGTACTCAGGAGCACGCGCACAGGAGCGGCGCACCGGCCCCGCCGAAAAACGGGCCCGCCACGCGCCGCCGCGCGCCGTGAGAGAGCTGCCGTAAAACGAGAGGAAGCAGACGCCGGCCGCTGCGGCTACTCGGGCAGCAGCGCTGCTGCGGATGCCGAGCGCAACTGCACGCGGCGATACAGGGGCAGGACGGAGAGTCACCGCCGGTCACCGAGGGAGAGAGGGAGAGCACAGAGGGAGAGAGACGGCGAGAGCGCATAGGAGATGGAGAGATAGAAACACTAGACTCTAAAAGACGCAGCACTCGGTCGTTCAAACGCCGGGCCTTCAACGCATTCTTTCGACTGCGATGCACCGTTACAAGAGCGTTGTTATTCCGTCCGTCTACAATGGGACGGGCAAACATGCATCGCCCCGCTGACGAATGAACAATGCGCACGTTATCATGATGTAGCACTGACTTCACAACGTCGCCCAGTGGACCCACGGTTGCCAAAGATGATGAATTAACCCCCCCCCCCCCCCCCCCACATCCCGCACCACCCATCCCACATAGGCTCAGAAACGCAGGGTGGAACAAAACCATAGTGGATAGGAAGATACTTCCTGCACTTGTTTTAACAAAACGCTAAAAGCCCGATCTAACCATCCATGGCTGACAAGGGGAGCACCACCACATCTAGAGAGGTCGGCTCCAATATCACCCTACACAACATGTTCGAAAAGGAACAGCGCCCCACTCCTTTATCACCGTCAGCGGAACTCCATCTCTCAATGTCGACTCCGTCTCTCCATGTCGATTGCAGACTGGAACGGAGAGCGCGCATTCGTATGAAGGAACGAGAGAAGCTCGTCGTCAATTCAGACATTCCGAGACTCTCATGACGCGCATATCTCACCGGCCATTGAGCTTTCCCTCCATAATAAACAATGACATGTCAACAGCAGTACAAACGAGGCCCAACCGCCATACCGACATTAACATACACGGACCGGTGAGGCAATCGCTGGCGCCTGTTCACAAGAACCGGCGCACTCGGTCACCATGTCAGGGTTCCAATTGGAGTATTTCCGCACTCTCCGTCTGTTCTGACAGCTCGATGACCGCCGATGACCCGGCCTGAGCCGCCACGCCTCCCACGGCGGGGGGCCGCCAGTAGGCGGAGGCGGTGACGGTGCGTCATAATACGACGGCCGACCCGGCACCGGAAGCACGTCCAACGGCCAAGCCGCCCGACACATCTCCCGCACCCGCCGGCAGCGCCCGACATCTCCGCGCCGCCGGCCAGCGCCTGACACATCTCCCGCGCCGCCGGCCCAGCCCCGACACATCTCCCGCGCCCGCCGGCCCAGCCGCCCGACATCTCCCGCCCGCCGGCCAGCAGCCCGACACATCTCCCGCGCCCGCCGGCCCAGCCGCCCGACACATCTCCCCCACCGGCCGGTCCACCCGCTCGACACATCTCCCGCGCCCGCAGCCCAGCCACCGAGGAAGGAAGATGCTCACGGAGGATGAGGAAGGGGAGAAGGACGCAGGGGCGGGGCAACAAACAGGACAGCCGGGCAGCACCTTCCTGGGCGGGATGACACCCCTGCGCTCCCCCCAGCCCAGGCCGCGGTCCGACGGCACTCGCCGGACGTCCAGCCGCGTCAGGCGCCGGCGTGCTCGTTACACGGCCGACACGAGTGCCTGCTGGGACCTGAGAGTGGCACACCACCGGGTACGGCCGTCTCTTCCCCACTGTCACGCCTCTCCTGGTCAGTACCTTGGTCGCTGTGCCCGGCCCTCCGCCTTCAGCCCAAGCGGCGCAGAGGAGACCACGACGAAGTCCAACTCGGCGCACAAAGCGCACAAAGACAGGATTAAGCGGTGCCATGCCAGAGTCCGCGTCTCGCAATAACTCACGACGAAATCATTCCTCGGTGTTTCATGCAACTGAAGAATCGCCTTATCTCGAATGGATGATTACAGTTGGCAGCCTTGGGTAACAGTACGCCGTATGATTTAAGCAAGGCTTGTGTAATGTGTTGCAAGAATGCATGCAGCATCGTCAACAAACCCGCGCGGCGCTCGCCGGGGAGTGGCAGCAAACCTGCAGCGGGAATCCGACAACAAAATGCAATCCGAAACCTACAGAACCAGCGACGAAAAACCTACGACTTGCAACCATAACGGCGGGACCGAGCCGAGCTGTCACGATGTGTTCAGGACGCCTGAACACCTGATGTGCCAGGATCTTGCCTGATGCAAGCGTCGGAAGACTCGCCAGCAGCCTCCGCGACGTTCCCAGGAAATCGGCTGATCCGCCGTCAAGAACCACTCCACCTGTTATGCGTCTTAAAAACTGCGGCCAGTAAAGCGACAACACTGTTTACGACGTAGCTATTCTGACCGCTACTTTCGCAGGCTGCCAATTTATGCTCATCCTGCATTTCCCACACTCGACATGAAATGCTGCCAAGTGGCATTCTAAGGACGCTTTCTCATTGCCGGCTCGGTGCGCCGTCCCACGATAAACGTCAAGCAGATGCCCTTATTAACTAGCCAGCCCAGGCTCTCTATCAGCGCGGATGTGTTCTGGAGTGGGAAAATCTATAAACAAGTATCACTGGATGATAAACGGGTGCGACCGAAAGAGGTGAGAATCATCACCCACCTTTTCGACATATTTTTCACCACCGAGCTAAAGTCAAATGTTTAATATCGGGGAGGGGTGAACCTACATTTTGCGTCCTGTCCCCGTGCCTGTAACGACCCACATCACTGTCCGCAGCCAGTTTAAAAGAGAACGTACGGCTGCGATTGTTCTGGGTCTTCATGCTACGGATGTACAGCAAAAACCGCCCGGTGTCATCAACTTTTCAATTGGCCAATGACGTGAGCACCGTCTATTACAGAGATAGCCTGCTACATGCGGTTGCAGGCTCCACAGCGCGGCCTAAACCCCTCTCAGGCGGCCGTGTCGCTCTCAGCAGGTGACCACCTGAAGTGCCGCACCACCGGAGGAGAGCGCACAGACGCTGGCACCACGCAAGGCAGCCCCCTAGTGCGCAGCTCACTCTGGTGCTGCTGGCCGGGCCGGCCACAAAGCAGGCGCGCACATCATGTCCGGGGTCAACAGCGACACTCACGGGTTAGGCCAGGGTCAGCGTGGCACCCGCGGGTCACCGCAGAGGTCACCGCAAACATGCGCAGGTCGCGCGGGGTCAGGCGCCACCCGCCGCCGTCCCTCGCGACAGCCCTTCACTGCCACCCACCTTGTACGGGTACGCGTCGAAAATCCTATTGGCGTGGTCTGGCCCGACACAATACGCCTCCATGCCGACGGCTGACACGCTCCATGCACTGCACGCGGCGGGGGGGACAGGGCGGGCGGCCGGCAGCGGCCCGACGACGGCGGGGCTGAGGCACGACTGAGCGCCGGCCGCCGCCGCCGCCGCGCCGCCGCTCGCACCGCCGCGCACTCAGCCGCCGCGCAGGGGAGGCGGCACGGCGCCGCGAACAGCGCCCGACGCATAACACGACATGTCCAGCACGTCAACAGCAAATCGGCGGTCCGAACCGAGCCGATCAGCGCCGCCTGTCGGCCGCCGGGCC